TATTTTCACTATCCACCTCACATTTTTTTTTTACATAAATACATATTTGGATTTTTATGTTTCTGCGACACTGAATGTATACTTTTGTATGAAGTCATCATAAGCTGCAGAAAAATTTCCATTCCAGGTAAAAAAAATATTAAAATATTTAATTAGAAAAAATGTAAATATAATAGATGATGATCTTTTATACATGATATATCTACACAAATCTGAAAAAGTATAAACCTTCCACCGAGGTTTCCTATATACTTACTGTAGTATATTTATAACGAAATATCGAGTAAATCACTACGAGATTTTAAAAAACTATGTGATTATAAAATTTTTAATTCTAAATAGTTACATTTGAAATCACTACATAAAAGCTATAGGTTGTAAGGTATTTTTTAACATTTGTTTGGGAAATTTTTTTGGAATTAAATGCCCTCAAAAGGAAAAATTACTGAGCTAATAGTAATGGCTATTGAGAACTGAATTTCTTGTGAAAGTCTCAATTTGAAATTAAATCTAAATTATATGTCTCAAAATGTCATTTCGGAGCAGTTGTGGTAGGAAAAATTATTTCAGAAAAAAACAGTAATAAAAATCCGCTAGAACACAGCAACATTAAGCGAAGGATGGCTCGATTTTAATAGTTAATAGTTTTCAGGATAAAGTAGTCAAAAAACAGAAATTAATTTTTAGAAAACTGTTTAAAACAATATTATAAAACAATTGTAAATTAAGTTTCGGTTCATATGTAGATGTTTATATAATTTTTGCTTCATTTTCGACTATGAAAATTACTGAGTGTTTCTAGTTTTCTTAGCTTATAATCAAAAATAATTGAGTGCCTTTGAAAATATTATCAGATACACACATACACACACAGATGAAGACAGGTGCACAACTAATTTTACGTTTCCATAATTTCTTGCTCTACTTGCATGTTATCTAAGTATTTTCTTTGAACCATATTTTCTTCAGTTTTTACGCTCACAAGAATACTTCAAAAATTCATTGCTATGACCTGTAATTTGTAAAAAAATAACCTTGTTTTATACACTTCAAGTTAAATGGCTAAAAGCGTATAAAACGCTTAGCCAAATGTCGGCCACTTGCCATGCCACACACATTTTCACAAACGTCAACTCACACTCTTATTCTCGCCACAACACATATTTTCATTTATATACATATTATTTCATATTATATACATGCACACATATGTGCGAACAGCACCACCTGACCAAGTGGAGCATACATAACTACAAACTTATACAAATATTTTCGCTTTTGTGAGTGCTCTTGCAGAATGCTCAAGACTGGAATGACTGTCCTTTGATTATCGATCCAATTTTCGGTAGCGATAAGCAAATAGACATTCATGCTGGACTCAAGTCAGTACATTTTTTATCTACACATATATGTATTGTACATACGTAAGTATATATGTAAATTTGATATTCGTAAACCTACACTTATAATACACATTTGAATAAATGCATACATACATATATACACGTATATATTTATGTACATCTTAGAGTATACATGTATAATTCTATTCAGAGCAACATAAATTAAAATTGTTTATTTCATATACAAAGTTACAACAGTTTATATTTGATATTCAATACAAGGGAGAAAGGTATTCGTAATGTGCGAAGGTGTTGGACCCGCTGGTCATGTAGTAATATTTTCCAGCAAATGCACATCTAGTTACTTTGAGTTTGTTTGCCAATGATGTAAGCTTCTTTCTGAAAAAGATAAAATTTAAAGAGCAAATTTTTAATATAAAAATCATTTATTAACAAGGAAGCTTTTAAACAGAAATAATGCCAGGAAATCTATGTTTATATCTGGAAGAACCCTGGAATCAAAAAAACTTTAATAAATCAGCAACCAGGGAATTTTTTGCACACTTTACGCTTAGTCTAAATAACATAATTTCATAGCTAACAAAAACTTTTATATTATAAATGCATTGATTTCCCCCTTCATACAAATTCTGATAGTATTAGAGCGTTTAGCTATTAGTTACATTTAACATTCTAAAGTGGAAATCAAATTACAAGTAGATCAAGCATTTGTCAATATTATTATTTACACCGAACAACAAAAGCATATTTCTTTCAAATAAAAGGTTTAACTTTAAGATTTTGGCAAAGAAAGAAAAAATTTATTTAGTTTTATTTTCGTAAGATAATTTAGCTCAACTAAAGTATAGTTGATAAAGCTTTTGTTAATTCCCTTTCGTGAAGGTGTTTGTATTTCCAATATTAAAAGCCCTAGAGTGTTCCAATCATCAAGAAAAATATTATTCGTTATATTTTATAAAATTTCGAGTATTTAAATGAGCCAGTTCCATGGTTTCCTTTTCAAAACATCTTTTCTTTTTAAAACGAGAGAACAATTGTTTGTGTGAAATTTGAAATGTTCACCAAATAGAATGCTTCACAGCTTTTACACAAATCTTTACTTTCTTTTGTTCTACATTATTTTTCTCTGACCTATTTGAAGTTACTAACAAACCAGAGAGCATGATATGAGTATAAAGGAGGAATGAGGAAAATCTAACAAAACAACTTATCTAAATTATTTAGCATTACTATTCTCCCAAGTTGTTATTTTAATATTTTGTATACTACTTTCAAGCTATGTAAATAAAACTTCTAAATTTAAAAAGGTTAATTTGTCAAATGATTACATATATAATGAAAATCCAATAAAATGTTGTATTTACATAATTTATGTGAAAAGAATACATAAACCAACAATTATAGAACAATATAAAAAATTTTGTGATTAAAGCAATAAAAGAAATTGGAGTAATTATATGGATACAAAATATATGTAGTCAGAACTATTTAACAAAATATTAAACATTTGTATAGCGAATGAAAGAAAAATACATATAATATAGTCGTACACATTTTAAATTAAGTTTGCCACAAAGTTTGTAACACCCAGAAGAAACGTCGGAGACCCTGCAAAATATATATGGTATATAAATGATCAGCATGACGAGCTGAGTCGCTTTAGCCATGTCCGTCTGTCTGTATATACTAGTCCCTCAGTTTTTGAGATATCGATCTGAAACACAAAGCTGCTTATTTCTCCGAACTGCCGGTATCCAATAACTATAGCATAAAAGTGACCGATCAAAATCAAGCTAAAAATCTTTTTATACTTTTGTAAGCTATAAGCTATGTACATTATATTATGCCTAGTAATGGTTGAAGAAATTCTGAATCTCAATAATTCTCCATACCAATTTGCTATACTCACACTATATGCAAGTTTCAGTATACATACAAGTATATATATGATCTTATGAAGATATATGAAATGCTAAGATAGTACTAAGTGCATCTAAATTGTTCACTCACGCTATCCCTACAAACATAAATCAGTACATTAGTAAACAATTGAGAATTGATACGTAATTGTTAAAACACAAAGCCAACAATTCAGCAAACATTTATCACAAGGTCCAGAAGGAAATCTAATCATGACAAATGTTGTCACAAACGCTACTCAAGTGACAAATTACACCGGAATTGGCAAATTATAGCACATTTGTAGTGCAATTTGTGCAAGTACACAAGCACAGGCGAGTCATGGTCAAGCGAGGCGATAGGACACGTTGGTGGAAAAGCGCAAATAAAATTATACAAAATAAATACATAGAATGACTTATAATATATTATACATATGTATGTGCAAACGAGTATGTGAGGTGTGTATGTGATGAAAGCTAACTGTATTACGGTTATTTTGTACATTTATTTATTTTTTCCTTTTGTATTCACCACAATCAAATGCTAATAAGAAAGCATAAATAAGTGCTTTATTGCAAATATTTGTAAGCAGTGAAAGCAGAGAGGATAAGCCAAGCTTGCTTGTGGCTACGAACTTCTGTGCGCTTGAGCGTAGGAGTGTGAGGACTTTTTCAAAAAATGTAATTATTTAATTACACATGCATTTACGTAATCATCGGTAAACATAAAATGGATCAAATTGTATTGAAATATTTATAATAGGAATAAGGGTAAATAAAATCCATGATTTGGAACCATTAAGACTGCTCTACTGTCATTAAATTGGAGATTTATAAAAAGTGTTAAAAGTTCATAAACGCGTATTACGTGCCTTTTATTGGCTTTTGCGTGTGTGTCATAATATTTATGTGTTTATGTCACAACTACAAACACAAAAATATATATATATGCGAATAAATCAACATTCGCACATAAGGAAATATATTAAATCGAGGCGGTTTCAATCGCTCCGAATCGAATTGTATGAAATGGAAGCAGGATTCACCCATTGATGAGCACATTAACGGCTGCAACAACACACGTAACATCGATATAATCAACACCAACGCCATGGAGGCACATACAAGTCATGTAATAACTAATCCACACAAATATATACATATATGTGCGTGCGTTTGTGTGTAGCTTGCGGGATGAGTAGTGTAAGCAACAAAACAGCGCTCAGCCTGAGCAATCTATGCCAATTCAAATGTGCTCAACCAGGCGAATGTAATGTGTATGGGAAAAACGGCTGTGCACTCACAAAAGCAAGCCAATTGGGTGGACGCACGCATGGTAAGTTACAACACAGACGCACACACTCAATCGCTTGACGTCTTCTGAGTAAAAGTCATAAAAAAGTTAAGCGCCAGGATGCGCATGTCTCGCAGAAAGCAGAGAGAGAGCGAACGAGCAAGTGCTTAAAACACATAGAAGTGAGCGCAAATGAAACGCTGAACAACCTGAACGATATGTTAAATGAAAGACCTTAACATACACACTCACAAGCAAGTAATATGCAGGAAATGCTACAAATACCTACACGTTTGTGAGTGAATATGCAACGCGCTCCTTGGAAAGTCGCCTAACTATACTGGATACGCGGTGGGCGGCAGTAATGCTGGGTGGGTGGTAGGTTGGTTCGCTGGCTTTTGGAGCATACGCAGGCACTGGAATTCCAGCTTGAATAGCACTACAAGCGACAAGGTATACATAGGCATGTTGGGTATGTGCTAGGCGAGCGCTGCCAGATAGAAGTTACCTTTGCTCTGGCCTGGACGATGCACGGTGGTCGTCTGGTTTAGCAAATTTTCTCAACTTTTCAAGTGTGTGTGTGCAGGATTTTTTCACAAAGGCATACAATTTGAAGAATTAAATAAATTAACTAAACAAATTGTCTTTCAATTTACCAACGATTGGTGGATATTCATGAAAAATTGTATTTTTAATGTTTTTAAACAAATTTTGTAAACGTGAACTGCAGTGGTTAAGCCTGAAAAAAAAATATTTTTTGGAGCAAAACAAAAGTGAATTGGTTATGTAAAAGCCACTAAAAATATATTATTGCAATTAATCGCAACGGTGTGAGCTCATGGTTTGAAGCAACTTTTTGTCACTTGTGTTTGTGTGGACCCGAATTTCGTAAAAAAAAAAAATTAAAATTAACAAATAAAAAGGAATAAGTTTATATTACTTTGTTAAAAATTCAATATATCGTATAAAAAGAGGAAATAAATAGCAAATTGTCAACTCGCTATAATCCTCAAGACAGTGGCGTCGAACGAGGGTACCCATAATACCGCTGCAGGCAGTGCAGCTGATGGTGGTGCTGGCACAAGTGGTGAATCGGCCGCACTGTTCTCCAAACTGCGAAGCTTCTCCATCGGTAGTGGCCCGAACTCGCCACAGCGCGTAGTCTCGAACTTACGCGGTTATCTATCGCATCGCCTCAGTAATATCACACCGAGCGATACAGGTGAGTTCTAACATGTGCCGTAAACTGCACAGCGAAAAATAGGATATATACATATGTATATAATATATAATATCTGCGTACATACATAAAAGTGTTAATTACTTGCTTCGTGGTCTTCGCTGTGGATGAAGTCATATCTTCGACGATTGTGCACGAATGCATTTAATTCTATAGTGATCGTTGCAAATAGTCCTGATTGTAGCGCTAATTGAAAATTATACATCCGTACATTTTAAGAATGTGCTTGTACTCACCTCCGTTTGTATGTGTGTACACAAATACGAATACTCGTCTATGTGCTGCGTATTTGTGGTAGTTGTAGTCGTATGAAAATGTATCTACCTGTACGGAATACACAAAAAATCATCACTGAATTTGTGGTTCGGCAACACAACTAAAGCTTGATTATGTAATCTCGAATCTGAAGACAAACCTACACAAAGAAGTTTTTAAGATTAAAAGTTTGCTATTCTATTTAGAAAACTAAAAGCAAAATAGTAAAATAACATGTTTTTGCAGACTTTTTTTTTAATTAAATCTAACTGTTTATATTACGTAATTCATACAATAATCAATTATAACGCTTCTTTCTGCCTTTTGCGAATGGAATTTTACTGGAAATATTCGAAATCAGTACATGCCAGATATCAAACTACTAATTAATAATTTCAAATTTTTTTTAGCTAATCAAGATTCAGGTTTTAGTTTGTATTTCTAAGTTCTTAAGAGTACTATGAAAAGATATTGTTTAGACTTATTATTTGTTTCAACACATTTGGATTTCTTTACTTTGTTCAGAACACATATTTAGTGAGTAGATAGTGATCACGTTAAAAAAGAAGGACTAATGTATTATAATTCAGTAACAATGAGATGACATATTGTAATTTTAAAACAGTTCTAAAGGATTATCTTCAGAATATGAAGACCTTCCAAAGATAATACAATAAAATAATATAAAACAAGTAAGTAAGGGTTGAGTTTGGGTGTAATCGAACATTTTATATTCTTAAAACTTGCACAATCAAAGCCGGCTACCCTAATAAATCTATCGTTAAAGTTCGAAAGTCTTTATATAATATTAGATACATGGGGGCTAAGAGAAGTATTGACCCCATTAAATTCATATTTGAGATACAGACATAATATTATCAGGAAAGCATTCTCTCCGAATTCCAATTATAATATATCTTATATATTGAACGATAATTTCTGTAAAAAGTCAACCATGAACACTTGGGTCCACAACTTCGGCATATGGGCGCTTGAACATTGGTTCGATTTTGACAAGTTTTAGACGTGAGATGGCACTCGTTTTGCAAAGTTTAATTTCAATATATTTATTAGTGCTTGATTTGTATATTGAAAGGAGTGGGCGGCGTTATCGCCCGATTGCACCTATTTTCACATTATCTGTAGTAGTGCTAAAAATATTTAGCTTGAGTGAATTTGGTTATTATGGCTTTAGGCGTTTAGGAGATATGCACAATAAACCTATTCTAGGGCGGAACCACGCCCACTTTTTAAACATTTTACAAACTGCAGATGCCCCTCTCTAATACGATTCGTCGTACCAAATAACAATCTTGTATTTTATTATGGAGCTTAGTTATGTCAATTTATTCGTTTCCGTGGTGCCAAGAAACATGTGTACTAAGTTTCTTTCTGATATCTCAATATTTACTCAAGTTATCGCTTGCACAGACGGATGGGCAGAGGGTCACTCGGAAGCCAACTCGTCTTGTCATCCTGATAATTTAAAATATATATATATAACCCTATATCTAACTCGATTAGTTTTAGCTGATACAAACAACCGTTATGTGAACAAAACTATTGTACTCTGTAGCAACATGTTGCAAGAGTATACAAATGTTGCATTTATTACTTTAATTTTGTGGATGCCTTTTCTACAGATTTTAGCATCTTTATAAGAAATATTATTGTACTTCCCATATATATTTGTACAAACATTTTCTTTTATTTAAAAAATTATTGTGCAATGTTATAGAAATTTTGGTAATTTGGAGAATTAAAAAAAATATTTCACGATACCTGGGATGTGAATATTTTGTGTACTTCTAAGACTATGTACATATATATACCAACATTTATTAGATAATTTTTAAGGCATTATAGCTAGAGTTTAATTTAAGGTTCAAACCAATAGCTTTATTATATAACATATTATTATTTTTGAAAATTTTCACTTGGAATTAAAACCTATAAGTTAATATATTTTAACTGTTATATAAGTAGATGGCTGTGTAAATATTTTCTTTGTGTATTTCGTAGTAAATTAATTGTTTCAAAAGAAGCAGTAAAGAACAATGTTAATATATTGTATTATTGAATTTATACATTTTTTTAAACAATTTAGCATTTTCTCAAGTTTTTTTTTTGTCGACTACATTTTCTGCTTTTTATACCATGAAGTTTGGAACACCCAGAAGGAAACTTCGGAGACCATATAAAATATACTTGTATACATAAATGATCAGCATGATGAGTTGAGTTGATTAACCATGTCCGTCTGTATGTATATATACAAACTAGTCCCTCAGTTTTTAAGCTATCTTTTTCCACCTGTCCCTTTCTTACAAAGAAGCTGCTCATTTGTCGAAACGGCCGGTATCGGACAGCTATAACATACTTGTATAGCTGCCATACAAACTGAACAATCGGAATCAAGCTCTTGTATGGAAAACTGTTTCAATTGACGAGATATCTTCAAGAATTTGGAATGAATTATTATCTAAAGCAACAATAAAATCTCGGAAGAAATTTTTCAGATCGGATGACTATAACATATAGCTGCCATACAAACTGAACTCTTTCATTTGACGAAATATCTTCACGAAACTTGGCATGGATTATTATTTAAGGCAGTATTCTAATCGCCGAAGAAATTGTATAGATCGGATGACTATAACATATAGCTGCCATATTAACTGAACGATCTTAGTAAAGCGCTTGCATGGAAAATTTATTTATTTGACGAGATATCTTCATAAAATTAGGCACGAGTTATCGCTTAAGGCAACAAATTATTCTCCGCAGAAATTGGTCAAATCAGATCACTATATCATATACTTGTAGCTGCCATAGAAATTGAACGTTCGGAATCAAGTTCTTGAAAGGGGCCTTTGTATTTGTGAAGGGTATTATAGCTCCGGTGCAACCGAAGTTAACGTTTTTTCTTCTTTTAAGTTAAACTTTTGAACTATCTTCTAAAATTTTGTGTTGTTTTTTTTTTGTCGCATTACAACACTCTATATTAACATATGTGTATATATGTATATGTAAGTGCATTTGTATGAGTTTAGTAACACTTATTAACTGTTATACTCAAGGCAAAAATTAAGTTAGAGAGAGAATAACTGAAATTCAAAATTATTCAATGATTTAAATCAAAAAATTTCTTAGTTTTTAACATTCGTATATCATCTGAATGATTGTATTTATTTTGGTTTTATATACAATACTTTAATACGCAAAGTAAAGTAAAAATGTATAGTTGGATTTCTTGTCAACTATTATCATTCCATGATTATTACTTATTAAACTAACATGAAAAACACAATTTCAATAACTTAAATCGAATAATTTTCCGAAATTTAACAATTATACAATCTGGAAAAAATATCACTTTCATCCTGGTTTCATAAAACCACACAGTCTACTTTTCGTAAGAGCAAAAATGTGCTTAAAGTCATCGATGACTTTCGATTATTGGTAAAATGGTTCAAGGAATTAATATATACGTCAATTTTACTATACATTAACTTGTGTATTTTAAGTAATTCTCGTCAGGTAAATCAAGACAGTTTTCTTCTAGCTTAGGTCTAAACTAATGTAATAATTGTTTGTGATGTTTTTAAGGCAAAGAGAGATTTGTTATTTGGAAGATTTTTTTAAAGAACTTTTATGTCAACTAATTTAATTTTTCATGTGTCTCAAATTCGACTGACCACATAATCGATTCTTATAGCTTAAAAAAAGCACAGTATGCACCTATGACGATCCAAAGAACTGAGATATTTAAACAAAATCGCGTTCATGTATGAAAACCGTCTAAATAAATATCTATATGTCTATATTTCAAGACTTCGTCATACAAATATCGCTGATTCACACTTTTATACTGGAACTGCGAATGACACACCGACAAAGTTAGCTGCTCATTATATACCATTGACTCCGCCAAAAAGTACCACAAATTGACTTCCACATTTAATTTCTGCCAAAAATACTCTAAGTGACTGAAATTAAGCTTAATTGGTTTCTTATCAAAATTCTGCATTCAAGGCGTAGGCAATACATTAAAAACAACAAATATGATAAGAAAACAATTAAAAAACTCCATTACAAACAGGAAGTGATACAATTTACGACGAAATAATAAAAATAAGATATGACAAAATATTTAACAAAAAATTCCTACACCACATGTAGAAGACAAACGAAAAGAATCATTGTCGTTATTGAGGTGTGGCGTCTGCTCTTGTCTACACAAATATGAACAAGCGCTGCAACATAAACAAGTGTATGTATAAAAATGTGTTTAAAAATTGCGATAATGTCAACAGTTTCCATCAAGGCCACTTCCGAAGCGATCTGCTATACTTTTATTTTATTTTGATGATGATTTTTGCGCAATATTTTTCAAAAGACTTATGTTAAGATGTACAAACTGCTTGACATCGAAATGCTGAAGTGTCAGCAGGCGCATTACGACAAGGACTCAAATTGTCCATTCTAGCACTTTTCTCATCATAGTAGTAAGATTTGAAAATAATATCATACAAGCATCTATTTGTATTTGACAATCACGTGACATTTTTTATTTAAAGCACCACAAAAACAAAAAGTGTTAACATTTATGACTTCAAATTCAAGGTGTCTATTTAAAATCCTAATTATTCGGCATTTCACCGTAGTAAGATCGTGAATGCTCGTTTATCAATCTTTCAAATGGCATTATGTGGCTCAAGATTTAA